CATACGTCAATGTCTACTCGAGCACGGTCCGCACCTATGCCCGCACGACCCTATCGCCCCGTCATCCGCCATCGTTTGATGTCTGAGGAACAGACGCGCTGCTTTGCAAAGAAGCATTAACGGTCACCAACGCGTCAAGCGAAGTCTCCGGAACGGGTGACTGACAAAGGGACGGAGGGGCCCCTAGTAGGTGCACGTGCAGTTTTGGTGCATCCAGTCTGTTGTAAGGTCTACGGCCATGGAGGTTCTGGCATTTCTTCCGGCCCTGGGCTTAGCAAAGCTTTGACGACCTCACACGAAGCAGAGCTCTGCGAGGCTTCTGAAATCTTGAACGGGCGAGTCCTCTGCCGAGACTTTGTGGATTTGAAGGCCTTGCCTTGCAAATTTGACATGGTGGTAACCCTTCAGTCGCTGTGGTCAAGTCAAGCTCGCAGTGCTGTTCAAACCTGGCTCCGATTGCTGCCCTGCAGGCCGTGGCGAGTCATCTTTGGATCACAGCTGGCGTGTTTCATCCGAAGGAGTTCGTGTTTCCAGACTCCGCACAAACACTTGAGCGCAGATCCTGTCTCCTGACTCCACAGAGCCTCATGAGCAAAGCATGCAGCAAGCAGGTGGCGAGCAGGGCAACTGCGCGTAGCTGAGGCTTGCATATTCTGGACAAGTTGAGCGGCGTGCTCTTTCGCGAAGCGGTTCATGGTTCTGATGGCCATGGACATGAATGAATTCTTGGATCACAACGACTTCTTCAACTTCACGACATTGCGGGACGCAGAAACTGGCACTCCAGCAGTTGCGATAGGCCATGCGTTCCCGCCTCTGATGGCACGGATATTCTATCCTCACCTGCTACACTTGGTGCAAACCAGCGCCGAGGGGCCCCTGACAATGCCCTGACAACGATTGAAGGTGTGCTTTGAGGAGTGGTGATCATGTGTCGACACTCTGGCTGGATGGAGGCTCGACGGCATCGCCCAAAGCGTCGATCGCTTCACGTGGATCCGAAGAACATCGGCTGGATGGAGGCTCGACAGCATCACGCGATCTTCTTCGGATCCAGCCGCATCTTCCCAAGGAGCTGTGCGTGACCCTGCTCAGTGTAAACGGCGTGACCCTGCTCACAGCCGTCAGTGCAGCGTCGAAAATGGTCGAAGTGCACCGTGTGCAAAGCCTAGGCCGAAGCGCCCTTGTGACCAGGCACGCTGATCTTTGCCTCCTCGGCTCTACTTGTAGCTCGTGATAGCCTCTAGGAGCCGCGTCGTGAGGGTTGTGAGTGTCTCCAAACGCCTTCAGAAGGGGTGCCGAGCATGGTCCAGCGTTGCAGCTGCAGGCTCAAGATGAGAATGGGGCACAAGATGACCCAAACAGCATGCGTGCATGGTAGGCGGCGTTTCCCATGCGTCAAGCTTCCTTGAGGGCTGCGTGAGCAGTAGGTGCCGCCTGACACGTTTAGCAAGCGTCCAGACCCTTTCAAGCATCAGAGTTGCTTGGCCGCGGCCAGTGGCAAGACGCCAGCGGTGCCATGGCAATCGACTTTTCCTTATACGTCAGCAAAAGGACCCGATCCCTCCTCCGCCAAAGCCCGAGGGTTGAGAGCCGCTGAGAGGAATGCGCCCTACATCATCTGGACCGTCATCGCGATAGTGCCGGCCTTTCTTCGCGCGGTCCTGTCTCGGCTCCCCCGCGCTCGCCCGCCCGAAGGTCTGCGCCCTCTTCTTCCTCGTCTCGAACCGTGCCCCGAAGAAGAGCAGCGGTGCCCCGCCCGGGCTGCACCCCTTTTCTCTTGTTCTATCTTGTTCTGTTTGTTGCTTCCGCCGCACCGAAGATGGCGATGCAAGGTGAGCCCTCGAAGCCCCGGCAAGAGCCTGCGACCAAGAGGGGGCTCCATGTCGGGGGAGAGGAGAGGGACGCCGACCGAGGCGGCAGCGCAAGCGGGTGAGCGTCTCCTTGGACGGCCTGCTGCTGGCTCTTCAGGCCCGGAAACACCAAACAAGCTCACCATGAATGGATGAGAACCGCAGCCCCGCCCCAGCCGCCGCCTCTCTTTCAAAGAGAAAGAGAGAGAGAGAGAGAGAGAGTGTCTCTGCCTCTGTCTGTCTCTCTCTGTCTCTGTGTGCGTGTGTGTGCTGTGTCTTTTCGGCAGGACAACCGGACGGCCGCCGGCGCCTCGGGCGTCGCTCCCGATGAGAAGTGCCGAGAAGGGAAGCCGCCGGGAAGCGCGGGGAGGGCCCCGTCTTTCCGGCGCAGCCCCCAAGGTTGCTAACTTCTTGGAGCTCTGCAAGAGCTGCGAGGCCTCAGAGATCGGTCAGATGAGCTCCCAGGGACGCCGAGTGGTTATGAAGCGAAGTATCTACCTTGTGCATCTGCCTTGTGCATCTCGTCGACGGATTCAGTCTTTAAGTTGCCCTTCTTGCGCCTTTAAACAGGGGTACCTTCCTGTCTGCTCGAGCTTGCCTCGTTGTGCCACATCGAGGTTTTGTGCGCGGCTGTCTGAGAGGTGTTGCGCTCACACTGGGACTAAACCCCAAAGGCCCCAAAGGCCCCAAAGGCCCCAAAGGCCTAAACCCCAACAAAAGGCCGGGGGTGGCCGGGGCTCCCTTTCGAGCCAGGTTTTCCCAATCGCGCTAGCGGGCAGCGATGCCAAGGAGGAGGAGGCCCAGAGCCTCTCGCGGAGCTCTCCTAAAAGAGTCCCTACTGCTAATCGTTTATCGGTTTCTCTTGCTTACATATTATCCCTTATCTATATTATCTCTAGGATATTGTACAGGATATATCATGCATATTGTATATTATGATATTCTGTATTGTTCTTCTTCATTCTATCTAGTGCTTCTTCCTGCGCCTTGCGGCATTGCGCTTGGAGGTCTCTGAGAGCCTGGAAGCTTTTGGTGCCTTCGCCGCCGGTCTCAGGAGGCCGAAGACCCGCCGCGTGGTGTCGGAGGGTGTTGAAATAACCCTCTACAGAAGAAGGGTTTAGGGTTTAGGATTTAGGGTTTAGGGTTTAGGGTTTAGGGTTTAGGGTTTAGGAGCATCCTGAGACGCCCTACTTAAGCAAAACGTCTCGACACGCGGTTCAGCGCCGCAGGCATCGGCTGATGTTCTCGAGCACCTGCGAGGGTCGGGAGCCAGGGTGGCTTTCTAATGCCTCAGCTCCGCACCCTTATAAGCCTTCAGCATCCTTATAAGCAAGAAGTTTCCTAGAGCTCGAAGCCGCTGAAGCCCTAGGAAGCCATAGAATCCTAGTAGAACCCAGGGGGCCAGGGGGCCAGGGCTCTTTTTGTCTTTTCTGAGCTGAGCGCCAAGGCCGGGCCTCCATGGTGAGACAGCTGCAGCCGGACCTCCACCTCGAGGCACCGAGGGACGGAGACGGAGGGGGCGAAGCCGACTCCGAAGAAGAAAAAGCCCCAAAAAGGGCTCCTGGATTGACTTGGCCTTCGGGATAAGGAGGGGGTCTCTTTGCAGCTGGAAAGAGATGAAAGGGTGCTACTTGTGCACTGGGTCGTGTTTGTATCGCAGCGGATGCTCCCCCCCAAAAAAGCAGACATCCCCCCAAAATGGCACAAAATATTTGGGGCCTTTGGGGCCTTGGCCTTGGGCCCAGGCGGCGCCCGAAGTCGCCGAGGCCTTGCTCGACAAGGCCGGGGCGGCTTGCGCTCTTTTGGCTTTCCCTTGGCCCCTTCTTTGTGAGACAGGGCCGCTTTCTGTGGACATGTCTGTTGCTGTTACCTTATCAGAGAGCACGGAGGGTCCATTTCGCCACTGATGCTGCAGTCATCGTTGCCATGTTGGTTCTTGCAGAGATTCTGTCTGCTGAAATCCTCCTCCATCCTCCTCCATCCTCCTCCATCCCCCCTAAACCCTAAACCCTAAACCCCAAACCCCTAAACCCTAAACTCCCATGCGAATCGGATTTCAGGTGCCAGAGGTGCGCCTCGTGGATGCGATCCCGAAGGCCCAGGCGCCCCGGAGCTTTAGGATTTTGTCTTTCGTTTTTGAGGGCCTGGAAGCAGGGCCTTTAAAGGGGCCTTTAAAGGGGCCTTTAGGGCCTTTTGGGGGTTTTTGGTTTAGGGTTGGGGGGGAATGATAATGAGGGGGGTGGTTTAGGGCTGTAATTCTTCGGATCCCTGCTACCTGGACCTCTGTAGCTGCTGTTGGATGATGTGCGCCTGCGCATGTTTTGTTTTGAGCGCGCACAGTGACTCCTGGCAAGAGCCGGGATCTGGGTGAAGGCTTCTGGCGGCTTTCCATGTTAAGATGATAATAGGATCCACTCAAAATCAGAGGCTTCGACTGAGAGGAGGTCTTCAACCTGAGAGATAGCTCCTGGAGCCCCGAGCAAAAAAGCGGCGAAGCCGAGAAGCCCGAAACCGACAGCTCCTCCCAAAACCCTGTTAAAAACCCCGAAGATCCGCGAAGCCCTGTGCAGGAGGTCCTGTGACGGGCCGGACAAAGCACGTAGGCCCTAGGCCTGCAGCAGGGAAGCCGCTCCACGGAGGGCTCCGCTTTTTCTGGGCCGTAGGCTGCAGGAAGGGCCCCAAGCTTGGGCGGCGTAGCCCAGAGGCTCTCCTTGTGCGAACGTGAACTTTAGAAGATTGATGCAAATTTCAACTGTGGCAGCCTGTGGTCAAGAGGTGGCAAGCACAAGGGTCTGGGAGGAGTCTTCGCGCTCCTCGCCCTCGCCTCTCTCTCGCCCCGCTGGAAACCTTCATCTCCAAATCCCTGCAAAACCCTGAAACCTAAACTCCGCGATCCCTCTCGATCTCTCTCCTTGTGTGCGCCGGCCGAGCTGGCTGCACAGAGACGGCGCTGTACAGTGCCTGCGCAAGGCCGCCAAGCAGAAAAGCATGCTTGCAAACGCTTGGCCAGAACAGCTCCGAAGGGCTTGGATGGCTTGGAACCTTGGAGCCTTCACGCCAATACAATACGCCATGAATTTCTCGCCCTTAGCGCTCCGTTCTTCGCCGCAGCTGCGCGGGCCCAGCGTGCTGTGCATGGAGCCTTAAGGGCCAGATGCCAGCACAAGCGCAATAAATGCTCCGTGACTTGGCAGGCACTTGAGTTTTGGAGAGGGAACGCTCCGCTGTCTTTGCTTTTTGTGAGCTTGCAGCAGGAAAGGAAAGCATTTCTACGTCCGCGGCATGTCAGATAGATGGGTGGGAACTTTGCATAGACACATCTACTGGTTGTGTGTGTGTGTGTGCTATCCACGGTGACTCGATGTTTAGAACAGTAGCGAATGGGCTTGCATTCTAGCATATTTTCCCCAGCATTTGTACAATCCCTCATGCACACGCACTACCCGCTTCCCACTCACCTGAAGTGACTGACTTGGTATACGATCCACAAGCCGGTTGACCAACCGTCCAACGATTCTAACCAGTCCAAGTGCCTAGTAAGGCTGGAGCCAACAACGATTAGGGGTTCAAAAGGGCTAAGGGCTTAGCAGAAACTCTTGACTGTTTTTGTCCAAGAGCTTGACCCTAACATTAGCAAATGCTGCAGCTGATGGGTTTCTAGTGTTTAGCTGACGAGCGAACATCGTGTTGACTACATGTAAGTACCCGTCCACGCTCGTTTTGCTTGCCTGTCTCATGTCTTTAGTTTCGCTGCTCTGTGTTCTCCCAGGATTGCGTTGGCATGGGCTGCGGTGCCTCTGTAGGCATCGGAAGCTTTGACACTATGTCACTGCAGCGGATGCGATGTTTTCTGATTCCCTTTGCCAGGCCTAAGAGAGGACGGACCTGGGATATGCAAGCTCAGAGGGAATGTGCATCACGTGTTCAGATCCGAAGCCCATACTGGGAGGAATTTGCTAGCTTCTACAGCAGCTACCAGCTTCTCGGCCCCGATTTAATGAGCGTCCGCTGAGTCTTATTGCGGACTCTGTGAAGTTTCGCAGACGTCCAGGCTCGGCACGGCGTTGGGCAAGGGCTCTTACGGCTGCGTGTTCTTGGCGAAGGCAGGGGCCGTGCGCAACAGCCCAAAGGCCTGTCGCGTTTGAGATTTCTACGGCCAAGATACCTTTTGAAGGCTCTCTACTCGCAGGCCAGCTACGCAGTGAAGGCCGGCTGTTGACGGCTTTCACTTGTATCCTGTGTCTTCCCGTCACCTGACCTTCGCCAGTCCTTAGAAACCTTGAGTTGCAACGGCCTGGTAGCTGCTAGTGATAGTGTCGGCCGGTTGAGCGCCTCGATGATAGCGACACCAGCACGAGTAGGAATCTCACAGCTGCCTCCCTACCACAGCGACATATGGCACATTACGAAACACAGCGACGACAGAGCATGAAGACGTAGAGCAAGAGCCATGAGACTGCCAATCGAAGACCAGATGCAATGCCAGGAGCAAGAGAATGGTTTCAGTTCATTCATTCATTCATCCATCCATCCATCCATGCATGCATTGATTCATATGCCTGCATGTTTGCAAGGAGGTAGATATACTATATGCATATACATCTATACATATATATATATATATATAAGTCTGTATATACACAGACGTAAACACATATGTATGTATACACATCTCTATATTTATAATTCTCCATCTCGCCGCCTCTGCATGCCAGTGACGCTAAACCCTGCGTTCTGGATTGACCAACACGCTGAGACTTAAACCCTGCAGCCCGAGTGAAACACAACTGTGTGTGGTTTAAGGTCAAACGTTCGTTGCCTGGTTCAGATCTAAAGCTTCAGGCCCCCAACACTGGAAGCACCACATTGACATCCTAAACTAGGGTAAGGTTCCTCAAATGTGGGATGCCCACGCAAGGCTGTAAGGTATTTGACATCGATACCACTGGCAAGCACATTTCTTGCGTAGGAAATCCGCAATACGTGATCAGGTACGAGAGAAGCCGACAATCCCTAGTGCAACTTCTACGCTGATTCTACACTCTACGCCGTGCATACAACGCCCTGCCACGAGCCATAAATCCTTGGTGGGCAACTTTGTGTTTGAGTACGATACTACACGAGGCTTCTGGGCCTAGCACACTTGAGCCAGAGCCATAGTTTGGAAAATCATGGAGGATTGTTGGAAATGTTGGTAAAACCAACATTTTCCATGATTCGTCTGTGGGAAATCATGGAAATTGTTGGTACAACCAACAATTTCCATGAATTTGGAGAAAACTCGGGAGCAAAAACCACTTAGAAACATCCAGTGGATACGGCAGTATTGGCGAAGGGGAGTTGACGAAGTAGCAGAAACGGAAACTGCCAATATCGAAGTGCTTGAGAACACGGTGGGGAGGTGCGGGAGCCGTGTTGCAAGTCAGCTGTGGGAACGAACGAAACGGCCTATGTTGAAAGCACTAGCAATCACCAGCAGTCACTAGCACTAGTAGGCGCCGTAGATTTCCCTGAGCTGCCCAGGTTCAGACATCCCGGCGAACGGCGGCTCAGAAGATCCAGCATGAGGCTAGGAAGCCACACATGGCCGGATGATCCTCTGCTTGTCTTCCATGCACAGACAGGTAGGCTTGAGACCGCATGCGCGGCTGGGCCCAAACCCCCCAAATCCCTTGAAACCATTTGAAACCCATCCCAGATACCTTCTAAGCCCCAAACTAACCCAGCCAGGCCAAAGTCAGGGCCTCGGCGCCGAAAAAGAGATCGCGGCAGGAGTTGATGGGGGTTCACGGTTCAAGACTTTGGGGCTCTCTCCGTCTGGTAACGCGGGTTGCGGCTGTGGCAGCACCGCCTCCGAACGCCGAGATCTGGAAGCTCTGTGCCAGCCACCGCAACGTGGTCCACTTCGTGCAGATGCCTCTGCCTCGGCCGGATACGTCCCGGAAGAGAACACCCAGACAGCAACCTCTAGCCTAAATTTTCGGAACCCCTGTAAGCGAGCCGGGCAGGTGCCAGGAGGCGGACATCTACTACATGGTCATGGAAGCCTGCGACTGCTCCCTGCCCGGGTGCCCGGCGTGGGATGAGGGGGGGAGGAGTCGAAGTCACCGAGGAGGGATGTTTCTGAGGGTGTCTTGTGCGGCGCTTCTGAAGCGCGCTCGACCTCAGGTTTGATCGGCTGATCGACAATCCGAAATGGCACTGGGATCAGCTGACAGGCGCATCGGGGGGAGGGGGAGGGGGGGGGAAAGGGGCGTCCTCAGGCTTAGGTGTTTAGGTGCACCTGCCTAGCCTGCCTAGCGTCATTATCGGGCTGCAAGGTTTAAGTGGCAAGTTGAGGCTTTTGAGAAGCGGAGGGAATAGACGAAGAGCTCGAGCCTCCACTCCTTTGAACGGACCATGTCGCTGGGGTGTCCGTGAGGCGACCTTTTTCAGCTCGTCGCCGGCCTCCAGCATCTGCACACCCACCGGCCAGCAGCTCAAAGATTCCCGAGTTCCCGAGCCATGAAAGCCCATGTTCTGTGTTGGAGTCTGGCTTTCTCATGCTCGTTTCATCCACAGACACAGGGTTCTGCACAGCGACATCAAGGCGCACGATGCGGGCGCCTGCCACACAAAAGCCCGCTGAAGAGAGCTCTGCTCCCAGGCGGAGAACGCCTTGTATGGCGGTTCCGATGGGAGGACGGCCCCGAAGCAGAGAGAGGTCAGGGCTGCAGAGCTCTCTTAGCTGCTTTGCAAAGGACGCTGAAGCTGGCGGATTTCGGCCTGGTGCCGTCGCTCAGAAAGACACTCCGCCTCCGCCGTCCCTTTTGGTCCCGCTCCTCCGCTCCCTTTTGTGGGCCCGAGGCCGTGTACATCACCCCGAACGATGGTCCGCTGACTCGCGCCGGGGGACCCTTTCACTGCCAAAAAAAAAGGGGCCTTACCTGCTTCCGTTTCTGCTTCCGGCGCTTTCTCTCTGCTCTGCTCGGAGGCCCGAGGGTCGAGATCCTACATGGCCCGGCTCCCGGCTCGGAAGTGAAGCGATTCGATGCTTCGATTTTGGAGGCGCCAGAGATGCTGGCCGGGGAAGGCTATGGCTTCCCAGCCGACGCTCGGAATTAGAAGCAAGTGCCAGCTTTCGGAGTGAGAGCGACTCTCGCCAGCTCGTGCATAAAGGGTGTCCCTGGTCTGCTGCCAAACCAAGACCCTCACTTTCCTACCTCTGAAGAGGAACATGCAGCAAGATTGCGCAACCAATGCTCTCTGCGCCCATTCAGTGCATACTCTTCGGTTGCAAGTGAAAGGCTGCAGA